TGAAATGTGGCGTGTGTACCCGCAGCGCATCCGTGGGCGATAGCGTACTCCAAAATGTGTTCATTGCGCAATGGCGTGTTTTGGCTGTTGGAATTCAAATTTTTTTTCAATTAGTCGCTGGGAAATTTCATTAGTAGTACGTGCTATTGAACTTAATTTTCTCTAGGGACCCTCCATTGTCATTTTCGCCCGAGCTGAGTACTTATTAATCATCGTATTATTATACATATTGTCATTTATTCCTTCACGATTTTTTAGTTAGTGTCGTTCTGTCCTGTGTCGTTTACACATGTTGTCGTTTATTCCCTCTCGAGATCAGAACGACAAAGTGAAAAAATTTGAATCCCAACAGCCAAAACGCACCATTGTGCAATGTACTTATTTTGGAGTACGGTATTGCCAACTGATGCGCTGCGAGTACACACCCCACATTTCACAACACGTAATCGATGTGTTTTGTACTCTCCTATTCTCCCATAGTCTCTACTCCCCGCCGCTGCAAACGCTACAAAACGCTAGCGAAATGCTGGCGAAACGCTGGAAACGCTGGATTGATACCTATATTTTCCCTGCCCTTGCTACGCTAGCGTACGCTGGAGACGGTGGAAACGCTAGCGTACGCTGCCGTAAGGTATAAACGCAGCCTAGCTAGAACAGCCACCCTAAAGAGTTATCCGAATTTTACTTCCGAAAAATGTTTCTAGACTGACAGGTTGGACCTCATTCGCCGTAGCACTGCTACATTAAGGATTTGTAGAGGTCAATAACTAATAGAACGTGGGAAAAGGCAGCTTCAAAATAACAATAGGAAACTGGTCCACATACCTGCTCCAATGATCTTACAGTCGATTCGTATCGAGTAACTAGGTGCTCACGATACTCCTTTAAGGTATCAAGATACTGGAAAAGAAAAGCGGCGCTTGTGAGAGCTTTGGGTTACTAGTAATAAAGTAATAAACCTCACTTTTTGCAAGATATTCTTGTCAGCAGCAGGACACCGACTACTGTCAGCAACCAGTTGTACTACGGAGGAACCGGATGGCTGTAAACTTTTTTTGAGAAAGTGATAACATAACTCCTACAATAGTTCACGAAGAAAAAAAATAACAAAAAGCATTATAAACTCTGTGCTGGTGCCGACAGGGTAAGCCCTTCTCGACCCCAACCTGGTCCAACTGCAAATTTAGGTGATTAGAGAGGCGGCGGACCTTAATTCTATCGCCAAGATCTCCACGAGCGATATCCACATTCTCTACTGCATCATTACTGGCCGTGTCGTCGAGAGATACCGTAGAGCTGAGTCCTACCTGGTCCACCAGCTGCGGAACCTGAAACGAAAAAAACCATCATGATTTCAAGCGGATAGGTTGGGCCTAATCCATTGAAGCACTACTTCCACAACCATGAAGAGCTTGTAGCGGCCACTCGTGAATAAAATGAGAATAAAAATAACCGAAAAGAGCATCATATTATCATCACAAAACTGATCCATATACCTGCTCGGCGCAGTTTATCGACGGGGGGGGGGGCATTCTGCTTTCCATAGATGTGCCGACCCATCTAGGTAGCCTTTTCTCGAGTTGACACGTTTAGGATGGTGGCTAGACGATCTTGCACCAGCTTCACAAGGGTTCACAAGTTTTACCAGGGTGAGATTTGTAAACCGGGGGAAGCAATGGTAGTACAAAATGCCCCCCCCCCCGTCGAGAAACAGCGCCTATAGATACTACACTTGGTTCTTCACTTGGGACTAGTTCAACGGATTGGTCAGCCGAAACCTTTCGACAATTCTCCGAGATAACAAGATTCTGGAGAAGAACGACACTTGTACAAGCTTTAAATTACTAGTAACAAGGTAATAACCTCGAAGTTGTGCAAGGTATTCTCGTCAGCTTCAGGACATGATCTACTGTCAGGAACTGGTGCCATTACGGAGGAACTGGACTGCTCCAACAGTTTTTTGAGAAATTCACAACACAACTCCTACAATAGATAACGAAGAGAATGAATAACAGACAGCAACTTGAACATTTTTGGCAGTGTCGACAGCGTAAGCCCCCCTCTTGAGAGAAAAAAACCCTACTTCAACTTGGTCCAACTGCAGCATACGAGCTGCGGGCAGAATGCTCAATACGTTGGTGTCACTGATATTTATGTCTCCAGAATAGCAATACTTTACGAGGGCATCAACAGCTGATGCTTCCACGTTAGCCAGTTCTACCCTGTCTGAGAAAAAAAGACTTAATAAAAAGAATATTGCAATACTTGTGCCCCTCATGGCCAATATGTGTACGACAGCGAATCTAGAGAAGACTCACTGGAAGCACATGTAAAATAAAAAAAAACCACAAACAAAAAGCATACGCAAGGCCACGTCCTTGATGAACAAGGCTTTGAAATAATTCGAGGATGCAGCCAGTATGACTCGATGGGCGTTGATTCGCGTTTCCTGGAATATCTGTGGCTCAGCTATGTCAAGCTGTTCAACATCTCAAAGGGACCACCTTGACGA